GAATCTATGGGTGTTAAAGTGTTGGTTGTATCAGAAGTGAAATTGAGTGTCATGAAACCCTTTTAAGAACTTCATTTCTGCCTATCACCAGGTTTTTACTTAGAGTCCAGTAGATTTTGGAAGTTTCTGAATATTTGCAATTGGTTAGTTCAGACTTTAAAGAGAAGAATTGGTAAAGGAGAAAAGTTGACGGGTGGCCCGGTTGACCCAGTGTGTTGGGGACAGTTTCTAATACTGATGTGTGGTCTCAGTTGGAGGGGAGAGGGGATCACTGGTGTTGTCCTTGTGAAGAATTTGCTTTAGAGTTCTTTATAGCCCCCAGCACAGCTGCAGATCAAGGTAGGTGATCAGGACTTGGATATAAAACTGCATTTCTGAGTTCAAACACAGTAGGAAGGCTGTGAAACTTCTGGCATCGCCAGACTGTGTTTGGGTCCTCTTTCTGACATTTGAGGACAGTAGATTCAGCGTGCATCCTTAAAATGGATCCCCGCTTCCCAGAGGTAAGTGCCTATTCTGATGGAAGGAAAGGAGGATGCACGACAGGGTAAAGGTAACAAAAAGCAAGAAGCTGTGAGTTCTGCATCCTCCTGTCAATGAGGCCTGGAAGGGCTTGTGAATCATAGTACTGCTCTCTCGTAGACATCTTCAAAAATGATGGAATGGACTGTAACAGCAATTTAAATACGGTATGGTTCTAGTTGTTAGACTTTTTTAACTTTTCGAAAATTTCCAACATGTATAAAATGGAGAGAGTACTATGAGAGTGTTCCCAGAACCCATGTGTCTGTCATCCAGCTTTAGTAGTTATCGACTTATGTTAATGAAATAAGCTAAGCACAGAAAGACAAATATCAGTTGGGTGCAGTGGCTCACACCTTTAATCCCAGCACTCTGGGAGGCATAGTGAGTGGATTGCTTGAGCTCAGCTCAGGAGTTCAAGACCAGCCTGAGCAAGAGTGAGACTGTCTCTACCAAAAACAGAAAAATAAACCTGGCAATAAATAAATGGAATCCCATGTTTGTAGTTGTATGCCACGGGAAATAAATGAGTAGTGAAAGCATTTAAGCAAAATAAAACGGTCTTTGGGTATGCTGAGACAGCAAAGGCGCAGGCCCTTTGGTGTTCTGTGGAGTTTGTGAGACCCTGTGCTGGTGGAAGAAGCCTCACAGCTAGGCAAATAGAACAGATCAGGACCAGTTTTCTAGTAACTCTATGCTAGAAGGAGGTATCCCCTATTCATCCTTTAGTCAGTACTGAATACACAGAGAGTACCAAAAAAGTACACACATTTTAAGAAAGGAAAGAACTGTATTAAAATTGTAATACTCAATACATACCGATTATGTTTGTTATCTTCTTCTATCTCTTGTAATTGCAGAAGTCAAATGTGACTTGACTATCAATTTTTTATTTTTATTTATTTGTTTTGAGACAGAGTCTGACTTTGTCTCCCTGGGTAGAGTGCTATCATATCATAGCTCACAGCAACCTCAAACTCTTGGGCTCAAGAGATCATGTTGCCACAGCTTCCTGAATAGCTGGGACTACAGGCTCCCGCCACAATGCCCGGCTATTTGTAGAGACTTGCTTTCGCTCAGAGCAGTACATGTTTTTAGGGATGTACATATATGTAGTATTAGAGAAAATGCATGGAAATGTTAAACTTCTGGTCAGAATAGTGGTTACCTGAAGGGAAAATGTGCTTCTTTGGAGTGGTTGTTAGCTCTTGGGAGCAGGAGGATGGGAAGGAATGCGGTGGGGGGTGTGCACAGGGTCTCAGCTGGATTTGTGGTGCTTTGTTTCTTAGGATGGGCCATAGTTTGTCATCTTTTTGTATTTCTGAAATGCATATGTTGAACACATGTTTTAAAGAGAGGACAGAAGAGGAAAAGAACCTGGAAGTACAGAGCTTAGAAGACATGTCTGTGCAGTCTCCGCTGTGTCTGTACTAGACCAGGCACAGAGCCTGCGGAGCTTCCAAATTATTGGCTTTCTAACTGATCGTTGACATCTGTGTAGCATGCCAGAGAACTCTTTAATCACTCCCTGTCCCCTTACCCTCTGCCTGTTCCACACGCCCAGAGGAATGTTTGGATTGGAATTATTTGTCTTTCTGACATTTTGCTGCAAACACTAGAGAAGTTGAAGTGGGTTATAAAAAGATTACATATTATGAATGCTATATGGTGCTGTGGAGGCCCCAACTACTTGTAGTTGGTCATACTGTGCGTGTCAAGTAAACAGGCCTCCATGCTCTCTCCTCCTGTCTCCTGATTGCTTAAAATCCCTGTTTCATCCAATACTCGCTTGTCTATCAGGGCAGAGGCCTGGAGATTCTGTTCTGATAGCCCTCAGCTTCCAGGAACCGCACTTTCAAGGCTCAGCCCAGGGATAGACAGTGCACTCCTGCACTGAATCCTCAGCTTGCTCACTCAAGCTGGGCACACAGGACTTGGTCTCTGTTTGGCCCCACTGCTCCCTCTCTCCCTCATCTTCAGCTCTGGCACTAGAGTAACCCCAAACAGGAACCTTGATTCTAGTGGTCCAAAGGGCAGAGCAAAGGAAGGGACCAAGTTGGAGAACATACTGGTACACAATTGCCGTTTGTAAGTATACTGGCAGGTTGGAGCTTTTGGAATTAATTTTAATATAGTTTAGTATAGTTCAGTATTTTTCCAGAAGTATAGGTAGCATGGGCCAGGTGGGAGGTTTCCCCTAGTCTGTCAAGATTCACTACCATTCCTCTGCTGAGAATAGTGTTTTCTTCTGGAACTGGGGGCTGTAACAGACTCCCTGTGGTGGAGCAGCCTAAAAGGTAAAGCAAAGGATTTTTGCCATGGAAACACCTTAGCCGTGCCCAGGGGCCTGGGGATGGGGGTGGACATGGTGCTTTAATACGCTACTTTTATAGCAGGCTGTAAAAGGAGATGAGCTCCCTATATCTAGGCTGTTCTCTGGCAGCCAGGCAAGCAGAGTAAGCTGATAAATCCAGCGTTCACTTTGTTCCAGGCTGTTTTATCATGTCTGATCATGTTGAAACCAATGTAGTTCAACAAGACTTATGGTTGACTATATAAATTAATATTGGATGGGACAGTAGCTGCCTGTTATGATGTATTTTCCTGTGGAAAACTGTTTAATTTATAGTCTTTTGCTCTAAAAACAAAACCAACTTGAGCTTTGGGTGTCTGGCATAGTGCCATGCTCTTGTGGACATAATGTAAATAACATTTTGTGGCAATGTTGCTAACAAATATTTCCCAATTCCGTGTTTCTTCATTTTTCTCTTTATAATATGCTACCTCACCTCTCAGTGGACTCTGCCTACTGTATATTCCTGTAATATTATTTCCATCACCTGGATTAAGAACAGCAAATAGTTTTCAACTCTTAGTCTGATCCATAAGTAATGGCCACCTTGAGTTTCAGGTTGGTAAGGATTTGAAGGTAAATTTAAGCTTAGCGGAGAAGAGTGCTGATTGATTAGCAATGTTTGTAATGGGCATAGGATTAGCACTCGGTGTACTCCTGTCTAAAATAGTCATAAAGGTCTGGGCATGATGGCTTAGACCGATAACCCTTGCACTTTGAGAGTCCAAGGTAGGAGGAGCACTTGAGGCCAGGACAACATAGTGAGACCCTTTCTCAAAAAAAAAAAAAAAACTCATAAAAATGTTATAAAACAAGAAAATTTTTTTTCTCAGTGTAATGGAGAGACATTTTATTTAAGAACAAAGAGAAAGTGGCTCTGCGCCTGTGGCTCAAGAGACTAAGGCGCCAGCCACATATACCTAAGGTGGTGGGTTCGAATCCAGCCCAGGCCCGCCAAACAACAATGATGGCTGCAACCAAAAAATGGCCAGGCGTTGTGGCAGGCGCCTGTGGTCCCAGCTACTTGGGAGGCTGAGGCAGGA